GGGGTGTGGGCGGGGGCGGGTAGGGGTCTGAGTCTGAGTTCAAATCCAGGTAGTACTTGCTGGCCTTCCAGCGGCTGGCGCTGTAGTCACTGTCACACACGTCAGTGCTGCAAGGCGTTGTCGGGGGCGCTATGCCGCGGATGATGTAGGGCCTGGAGGGGACAGAAAGGGGAGGGGAACCTGACTGAGGAGGTCCCATGCACATCTACCAGATGGGCACAAGGGTCTCCTAGTCACGTGGCCTCTGCACCTCAACATCCCCACCTCTAATAGGCGAGCCTCGCCCAGGCTCTGGCAAGCGCAGCAGCCCCAGGCCAAGGTCGCCTTTACGGAGAACCAGGCCTCCAGAGCCTACCTGGTTGACCTTGGGCAACTTACTTAACCTCTCTGAGCTTCAGTTTCTCACTGATGAAATGGGGAAGATGAAGAAGCACGTGTTTCAAAAGTGGTTTGTGGGGGTTAAATGAGATTCTGCACGGAAAGTGCTAGAAACAGTGCCCCACAGGAGAAAGTGCTCAACAACTTTTCCCCTTGTATCATTACTGTCACTCCGGCCTGCAACCGTCCCATCTTGAGTTAAAGAAACCTGACCCCGGAGGTATCACCCAGCTGTCCCCCATGAGGACGTTGCCTCCCAGACACCTCCTGTGTGCTGAAATCCTGCACTGGGCTGCCACGTGGCCTGAGTCTGGGGCTAGGATTGCGGTGCGTTTATAAGCCCCGGCTCCAGGCCACAGGGGGCTCACAGGGGACAGGAAGGAGGAGCCAGCAGCCAAGGGCCAGCGAGGGGTGCCTGGTGCTGAGGAAAGTGCAGCAGGAGGATTCACCTCAGAGGACCCCAAGAGCAAGAAGTGACCCTGACAGACAGTGGGAAGGGAAGAGGTATCGGAGGTGTCACCCAAATCAGGGCAGAACCAACAAAGCATGGAGGGTTCCAGATACAGAGGGGCCTGGCTGGGCTGGTGTGGATGTGTCAGCTCTGGGGACACTGTATGAGGCTTCTGGGGACAGACCCTGACATGGGGGCACTGGGGAGCCACTGCAGGTCCTTGAACAGGTCCTTGAAGAAGTGTGCCTCTCCTGAAGCTGCAGAGCGCCCCTGGTTCGAGGCTGGGCCCAGAGTTCCCAAAATGGCCACTAGATGGCAGGTGATGCCTCTCAGAGTCTCCACTGTACCAGGCCCCTCAGGGGGCAAAAGGAGGCCCCACCACTCAGAGCTTCTGCCTCCACCTGGGCGGTCCAGGGATGGGCCAGGGCCCTGATCTCTACCTAGGGGGCAGATGTGGCCTGGGCCCGCCCCCCACCCGCCCCATCACAGAGCTCACTTGGGGGTGGGGGCCCAGTGCACCTGGGGGGTGAGACCAGGAGGTTGCGGGTCAGGAGGTTCAGCCCCCACCCCCACCCCAGGCTGTGACCGGGCCCTGGACACAGACCAGCACACCAGATCCCGCTTCTGAATATTCTCAAGTGTCTCCTTCCCACTGAGGGAGGTGGGATCTGTGACCCAATGTACACAACTTGGGTGATGTGAGGGGCTGAGTAGGCTTGCAGGTTTCTCAGGCTCAAAGGGGCAAGTAAGAGGGAAGGACCACGTTATCAAGAGCTACAAGGCAGGTGCCACACCAGCACACACGTGGAATCAGATGTGAGCCCCGGTGTCGCCACCTGGGTCCCAGAGCCAGATTCAAACAGTCAGACCCCGGGGCTGGAGCCCTGCCATGCCAAGGTGGGAATGGGAACATCCTTCAAGGCTCCATCTGCCTGTCCCGGCTTAAGAGCCACTCAGAATGTGGGATCCCATTCATTAGAATGTGGGTACCTGGCCTCAATATGCAGGCTTGGTCCTCTGGTGTGGGGGCAGCCCTGGGAGGGTGAGGAGAGGCAGGGCTGGGGTCCACCATGTGTCCATAAGTGCCCTGGACCCCTCCCCAGGTTTTCTCTCCTAGGAAATGAGACAGGACCCTCCCTGCCACAGGCTTGTCTGGAGGCCCAGCCAGCCACTTGTGCCAGGGCTATGCAGGGACTTCGTACCTGTAGGGTCTGGTGGGGGCGGGAATGTTTGAAGAGTAGAACATGTCCATGTTGTACAAGGAGGGGTCCGTGGCAGGGGATGGCGGTGGGTTCAGGATCTGTGGAGAGCCAAGCAAGAGTCACGAGGCCTGACACATCTGTGTGTTCCTGCCACCCCACCCCACCCCCGCTCTGGTTTCCTCCCCGAGCAGGGGGTGCAGGTCCACACCGGGCCGACTGGGCTCAGTGGACCCACACCTCCCAGGCCCCCTTGTCTAGTGGGGGACTTCACCTGCCTGGGCCTTGGTTTCCTCATCTCTAAAATGGGGATAAGAAGAACCGGTTCCCAAGGCTGTCCAACACTTGATGAGTCACTACAAGAAGTGCACAGGCCCCTCCCCTGCCCTCCAAGAAGCGGGCGTGGGCCCCTGCTGCTGCTTCTGGGGAGGGGCCTCCTCCGCCCAAAGAGCCACCCTGGGGAGTCCTCAGGATTTGACCCCAAAGTTGGGAGTGCACAACACTGAGGGGCAGGGTTTCAGAGATTGGAGCAGAAACCAGGCAGGGAAGCCCAGTGGAAAGGGCCTCCGGCAGCCACCCAGCGCCTGAGGCCCGTGGGGTCGTTTGGGCATCTGCCCATGAACCTGACTGGAGCTGGTTTCTCTCCACTTCCCCCTCCAGGGGAGCTTTGGGATTGTGCCCAAACCCCCTCCCTCTGCTGCCTGTCACTGCTACTTTCCCCAGGGAGGTGGGAGGTAAAGCTCAAGGAGTTGTGGAGGTCTCCCCAGCCCTGCAGTGGGCAGGTTTCTAGCAAGTTCCACTGGTGCAGCACCTCAGCGGCCCCTAGGCCAGCTGGCCTGGACCTCGGCCCTGGGGGCTCTTCCTCGGCCTCTCTCAGCTGATCTGCTCCCTCCTGCGTTCTCTTTTCCTCTCACTCCAGGTCCCTGGAATCCCGGTCCCTGCTGATAATTCTGTTCGCTGACCCCTCTCTGTCCGGATCACCACGTGAACCGTAACTAGCAAAGGCCACCCAGCCGCCATCAGCACAGCAGCGGTCAGCGGCTGCCTGCCTCGCTCAGAACATCTCATTACGTTCCAGGAGCACCGGGGATTTAGGTACAAAACCTGAAACCTTGAGAACTTTAAGAGAGAAAATATGGAAAGAAAGTGTGTGTGTTTTTAATGACAGAGGAGGGAAAGCCTTTCTGAGCACGACCAAAATAAAAACCCCAGACACCCGCCCATAAAAGAAAAGGTTGATCATTTCATTGTACGAATGGCAAACACACCATAACCCGAATCAAAAGACAAAAACCTAGGAAAACTATTGTCAGACACGCCTCTCAGGATGGGCTAATTATTTTAATATATATCTATGTATAAAGAGACCTTATAAATGCATACAACCCAATAATGGGTTAAAATAAACGCCCTCTCGAGAAGATAAAACTACAAAGGTAAATAAACACACAAAAAGATGTTCGATGTCACTTGGAATGAGAGATATACTAAAATTACAGCGCCACACCACTTTTACCTAAATTAGACCTGTGGTGTGTGTGAGAGTGTGGCGGGAAGATGGATTGTCCCCTGGCGAGGCCACTTGGCAAGAATGGTCATGGTCAAGACGACCAAGGCACAGCTCTGCAGCCCATTCTTCCTGTTGCCTCAGGAGTCCTCTAGCCCCGGGAGCCACAGATGTCACATCTGAAGGAGTGACCCAGGCTGGTAGTTACGGCTCAGTTCTCAGCCTCATTTGCAAAACGGGACGATGGCGGAGAAGGCGCTGGGCAGCTGGGCAGTCAGTGCTCAGTCAACGCAGCTTCTCTGGTAGCAAGAAGCAGGGCTCGGAGGGGAGCTCTCATTACCTTCAGATACCATCGTTTGGGTCATAAAAATACATACGAAACGACTCTCTGGGAGAGTCAAATCATTACATGTCCAAACCCACAGAATGCACAACACCAAGAGCGAACCCAGTGTCACCTACGGACTTCGGGTGGTGGTGACGCATCGACTGTAACGACTGCCCCCCTCTAGTGGGGATGCTGACGATGACGGAGGCTGTGCATGTTGGGGAGCAGGGGTATCTCTGTACCCTCTGGGAAATCTCTGTACCCTCTGAGGTTTGCAATTTTATCTGAAATTGCTCTAGAAAATAAAGTCTTAAAAAAAAATAAAAGCATGTAAAACTGGTGAAATCTGAGTAGGGTCTCGAAGGGTATCATATCAATGTCCCGCTTCCCTGATTCTGACGTGGTACTGTTGCTGCAGACGGAATGTGTGTGTCCCCCAAGCGCATACGTTGAAACCTAACCCCCGATGTGACGGTGTTAGGGGGTGGGGCCTTTGGGAGGTGATTAGGTCATGAGTCTAGGCCCACCGAGTGGGATCAGTGCCCTCAAAAGAGACCCCAGAGAGCTCTGTGCCCTTTCTACCGTGTGAGGATAAGACAGCCATCTATGATCTAGGACTCGGCCTTGCCGAATCTGCCAGCGCCTTGATCTTGGACTTCCCAGCCTCCAAAACTGCTGCTGCTGTTGAAGCCTCCCACTCCCTGATATTTTTGTTACAGCAGCATGAATGGCCTGAGACAACAGTTACGCAAGATGTTATCATTGGGGAAAACTGGTGAAGGGTAGATAGGATCTCTCTGTATTATTTCTTACAACCGCATGTAAGTCTACAATTATCTCGAAATAAAAAGTAAAAAAACTACTGTGTTTGTTGGGAAAATAAAGTCCACACTCGTGTATACTTGCTGATGTACAGATGACCAGGGAGAACACACAAGAAGCTTGCCACAGAATGTTCCTGGGGGTGGGGGGCTCTCCTCACTGTGCATCTACTGTGCCTTTTGAATTCTGTGCCACGGACACACATTACTGGTGCAAAATCGTGTCGGTAACTTAAAAATAGGCTCCATGCGTTTTCTGAGGTGATGAAGATGTTCTGAAATTAACCATGGTGATGGCTGCACATGTCTGTGAATATACTAAAAACCACTGAATTGCACAGTTTACGCGGGTGAATCGTATGGTATGTGAATTATGTATCTTAAAGAAAAGCAGCTGCTGGTCAGTGTCATCTCTGGCTGCCTAGTAAGATCCCCAGCTCCCGGCAGAGCCTGGGGACAGAGAAGGCCGTTTCCTGAGCCCCGGTGTCTGCCTGGGAGGCCAAGGGGGCTGCTCCGTGGGGCAAGCTCGGTCTCACGCGGGTTCCTGGGGTCCTGGCTGATTCCGTGGGGCATGGGAGAGTCGGCGGGGAGGACACGAGGAGTGGTGGTGAGTATTAAACTCCAGGCTTCTGGGTCCTCACCTCCTCTGCCCCCAAATGCAGTCGGGTCCTGGAGCCTCCAGCAGACTCAGTTCCCGCCCTGCGCACCCGAGATAACTTCTGCTGCCCCCCCTCCCCTTCCAGGGCAGCCAGGGTCAGGTGCAATGAGAAGGGGGCAACACCCCGGACACGGGGGACACCCCGAAGGGCGGGAAGGCCCAGGTAAGACCCCAGAGGGAGCTCAGGGGCTGCCCTCACCTTAGGAGAGCGCACAGCGGCAGGAAGTCAGGCTTCAAAGGATTAAAAACACAGCCATGTAAGTGAGACTCCAATGTTTACATATACACAGGTTCCCCTCCGTGCATCAAGCTCGTTCCAGTTACCCTGGAGCTGTGCTCTTGGAAATGGGGGTGCTGTAGGGGGGCTGGACCCTGGGGCCTCAGTGCTTCCCCCTCTGTACAGTCGTGTGGCTACCTGAAGCCCCAAGGAGCATTTCAGCCACGAAGGTCACCCCGAGAAGGGTTGCCTGCCCTTCAGGAAACAGCCCGGGTATTTTCTGGGGACCAGCAAGGCCTTGGTGGGAAAATAGGGTGCTCCTAGTGGAGATGCTGAGGGTGGGCTCGCACAGGCACCCCTGAGCACCCTGTCCAGATGGGCCCTGCAGCAACCTGGGCGGGATGAAGGGTGAGACTCCCGCTCTACAGATTTTTACATAGTTTCCGGATGATCCACAATAAACAAGAAGTGCCCTTCTCTAACCTGAAAAGTGTCACTAAAGAGAAAACGGACAGGGTTTACAAGGGAGGAAGGTGAACTCCCCCACCATGCTCTGTGGTGGGGCAGAAGAACCTTAGAAATCCTGAGGTCAGAGACGTGTCCTCTGGCCAGCCAGGCCTCCTCCCGCCCCCACTCACCGGTGGGTACAGCGTGGCCTTGGTGCTGGATGAGCTGCTGGATGAGGCCCCAGTGACGTGGTTCCGGTCGTAGAGGGGCACCCCGCCCCGGCCCCCCATCAGGCTCACAGAGCTCATCATGGACTTGCCGCACGAGATGCCTGCGGGGGGAGGGGACAGGGCAGGTGAGGCCTGGGGTACCCACAGGCCCTCCATGGCTCCTGCTGCCCAGGAGACCCAGGTTCAGATGAGTAAGTTCACCCCCTCCCGGCCCTCTGCCCACCTCCAGTGTCGCCTCATCTGTAAAATGGGAGACACACAGCGCCTCCCCCAGGGACCACTGTGGGCCTGCAGGAGTGAACTCGGAGGGTCTCAGCACAGGGTCGCCTGGCACCAAAAGGACCCTGTTCTCTGGGGGCTGCTGCGATGGTGACCATGCCGCTCCCTCGGGCCCCCCAGAGCTCTGGAGAAACCAAATCACCCCACACCCCTGAGGAGAAACAGGTCCCATCTGCACACAGACATCAGGGTTCCAACCAGGCTGGCTCTGGGCAAGGGGACAGGGCAGGAGAGACCCAGGGCTGGGCAGGCACCGGGGAATCCCCAAAGTGGCCTGGAGATGACTTCAGTGACCCTCCCACCTTCTTGGCCACACCCTGACGTGAACTGTGTGGTTCAGCCCAGGGTGCCACCTGGGAGTCTACACCAGTGGCCTCTCAGGTCCGTGCTCCTGGGGGATACACTTCACAGTAGTTTTAGCTCTGCAGCCACAGTCCGAACTGCGCTCAGGACTAACCTGCTTGTTGTATACCCAGGGACTCCTTTGATTCTAGCGAGAACCCAGCTGCCCCCCACAGATGACTCAAGACATGCCCCACAAGAATACTGAAAACCCTGGCCAGGTAGCTCAGTTGGTTAGAACGTAGTCTTGATACATACAAGGTTATGGGTTCAAATCCCAATCAGGGCACATACAAGAATCAACCAATGAATGCATAAATAAATGGAACAACAATTTGATGTTTCTCTCCCCTTTCCTCTCTCTTAAAAAACAGATCAGTAAAAAAAAATTATTAAAAAAAGAACATTGAAGGTCAAATCCAAAGAGCTGTCCCCATACGTCCAAGGCCAAAGGACGGGTCATAGCTGTGCAGCCTCTGTGTTGAAAACTGGGGCCGAGCAGGAGACTCAGCAGGAGAGCCTGAGTCTGTGATCGATTGGCAATGTCTGCCATGTGCACAGTACAGGGCATTGTAGCAGCATCCCTGATCCACTCACCCCATATCCTGCCCAGGCTACTCTCCCCACCTCTGCCCAGGTCCCTTGCACATCTCAGGCTCCTTACCTGTGAAGGGACCGTGCTGTGAGGCGCCCGGGGCTATGAAGTTGAGGGGCACGTGGGGGGTCCCGCTGACGTACTCATGCGGGAAGGGCCCGTTGGCCCCTGTGTAGCGCTGACACACCACACGCTGGCAAACAAAGTAGACCCCGCCCATGACGAAGAGCGAGAGGATGATGCCAATGACGGGCCCGATGGCACTGCTGTGGGCCGGGGTCTCATCCAAGGGCGCCTTGGTGATTTCTGCCAGAGGACAGGCAGGGAGAGGTGGGCAATGTTAACTGCAAAGGAACGGGCTCCCCTGTGGGGCGGAACTGTGTGCCCAGGAGGGGTGGTTCTGCCTGGGCCCAGCACCCACTGACGGAGGGGCGGGGAGCCACACTAACCTGCCAGCCTCAGTACCACCAAGCCTACCCCCTTGGCCTGCCCACAGCACCCTCCTCCTCCTCTGCATGACTAAGCTCTACCTATGTCCCGACGGCCCCTCAACGGTGACTGCACCGCAGCAGCCTCATAGTCATCCCCTTTGTCCGGGGCTCTCCGTGGTGGCCGGAACTATGTACACAGTTGTTCTCATGAGTCATGAGCTGGGCCAGGAGGCCCATGGGGCCGGTTACCAGGACTGACCACCAGGCAGTAGGCATGGGGCAGGCAGGAGTCCGGTGTCTCCCTGCCCATCTAGCAGCAGACTTCACCCATGCATGGGGCTGGGCTAACAGGTGTGTGGGGGTCCAGGGCCTTCACTGGCAGGGCTCACTGAGCCCCCCAGAAATCCTGTGGCAGGGCCTAGACTTAGGGGCTCATCCCAACCCCCAAAGCCAGGAGCATCCAGGGGTCCTTCTGGGTATCCTGAGCTGGGGGAGGGTGCTCCTTGGGCCTAGTGAGCCACCAGGGCCTTGAAAGGCTGTCTTTGACTCAGACAGGATGGGAGCTGGAACCCGGGTTCTAGATGCAACATGGACACAGCCCTGGCAACGGTAATCTCGCTGCCTGACAGGTGCTGCTGAGCGCGGTGCCTGGGCAGAAGCAGGACACTGCACTCGGGCCAGGCCTGGCACAGTCAGCCTACCTACCCCTGCCCTCTCCCAAGGGCTCCTGCCTCTGTGCCTGTCTCCCAGCTGGACTGCCCCTAGCCCACCAGCTCCCCCACCCCTCCCAGCTCAGCCTCCCAGCCGCCCCACCTCCAGGAAAGCTCCCTGCCTGCCACCAAGGCCAAGGACTCCCGGCCTCCTGGTCCCCTCAAACACGGCCCCCAGGACGTGTCCTCCCTCCAGACCCCACCCTCCGAGGCAGAAGCCCTGCCTGGGGCGACCCCGCCCTCCGAGGGAAGCTGCTCACCGCACATGAGCTCGTCGGAGCCGTCGACGCAGTCAGGGAAGGAGTCGCACTGCTGCTTGATGAGTAGGCACTGGCCGCTCGCGCAGCGGAACTGGTTGGGCAGGCAGGCGGCTGCGAGGAGGAGAGCCGGCGCGCAGAGGAGTCAGGGGTGCCACGTGGCTCCCCGCCCCGCCACCAGAAGGTCTGGGCTCCAAAAGCGGAGCAGACAAATGGGCCCTTTCTAGGTGCAGGTTGGGGAGGGGCAAATCCAGCCTTCACCCTGCCCTCGATGAGCCCTGTTCCAAGGTCTCTGCAAATGCTGGGGTCAGGAATGGCGGGGAGAGACCTTGGGGACCCCCAGGAGGTACTGATCACATTCCTACCATGGGGCTGAATAGCTCAGGGACTAACCCAGCCCCTGCCACAAGGCTCTCCCAGGTTACAGGAGGTGGGAGCCAACTAGAGGATCGCCCATGAGAAGGCTTGGCTCCCTAGAGTGGGTGGGGCAGGAGACAGATGATGCCTCAGCTGAGCTCAACCGTGAAGGCAACGGTGACCCACGCACCTCTCAGCCTTTGGGGTGGAAGAGAAAGGCTGGGTACTGATCGCTACTGCTGCCTCCCTTCCTGCTCCCCATGCTGTCCCGGAAGGAGCTAGAGCCCCACCAGAAGGGCAGCTGCCCAGGGCTCAGCCATCGGGCATACTTGCTATCTAGCTCCCACCTGCCCTACCCCAGATGCCCCGCGGACGATTTGGGAGGTTTGAGAAACAGAGGGTGGAAGCCAGAGCTTGCAATGGGGCTTGCTGTGAGCTGTGAGCACAGCACGTGCACCAGAAGGAACATTTACAGTGGGAGGAGGGAGGGGATGGTTCTTAATCAGGGCTCCTGCCATCCTCGAGATTGTGCCCAAATACCGTGCTGGGGCAAGGGGTACAGCTGGGCTCAGTAAGTAGTTAGGCTTTGAAGGGCACTGGTCTCTATCGTCACTGCTCAACTCCATCGTTTTACACGAGACAGAAACAAATGAGCCTGGCTGTGTCCCAGTCAAACTTTATATACCAAAATAGGCGGTAGCCTGGATGTAGCCTGCAGGCCAGTTTGTCAATCCCTGGCCTACAGCCTCCACCAAAGTCTCAAAGGGTCTCTCAGCTGGAAAGACTTAACAACTGTGACTTTACAGAAGCACCTGGGGAAATGACTCCCCTCGGCTGTCATCTTCCACACGGTGGCTGCTCATCATGAACAGAGATGGCAGGCACTGACCAGACAGCGTCTGAGTTATCTAAGAACAGGACTCGGTGGCTATGAGAGAAGGTAGTAAGAGTGACCCATCAAGAGCTCAGTGGCAGTCACAGGGCCATGGTGCTAACAACATGTAACAGGAACCTCCAGGCAGGTCATTTATAAAAAGAAAACTCGCCCGGCTGGGCGTGGCTCAGCGGTTGAGCGTCAACCTAGGATTCAGGCGATTGGGGTTCGATTCCCGGTCAGGGCACATGCCCGGCTTGCGGGTTAGGCAGCCGATCAATGACTCTCTCATCATTGATGTTTCTATCTCTCTCTCCCCCTCTCCTTTCCTCTCTCTGAAGTCGATAAAGATATATTAGGAAAAAAAATTTAAAAAAAAACNTCTCTCTCCCCCTCTCCTTTCCTCTCTCTGAAATCGATAAAGATATATTAGGAAAAAAAATTAAAAAAAAAANAAAAAAAAACAAAACTCATGAGGAGCAGAGAGAGATGTTTCACTATCAAGGTCTAAAGGAAGATCCTGCTGGTCACAGTGGACCTGGGATGACAAAGCCAATCTCTCTGTAACTCCTGGTTCAATGGTTGCTAGAAACGACTCAGGGGTAGATGCTTTTCGACACACAGGTCACAGGAGGACGGCACTGTCTTTTGGGGTGGGGACTGACCATGGCGCAAATCATGAACAGCCAGCTGACTATTGGATTTGCCTGGGGTTTCAGTAGCACTGCTGGGAGTGAATGAAGGAAGGAAGACAAGACTGACTCTCACAGCCAGCCTGCAAGCTAAACCGCCTGGCAGGATTTGGCCTAAAAGTAATTTCTTTTCCTCCCAGGCTGAGGACCACCTGGCGATCTCGCTCTTGGCCAAGGTTTTACAGAGACCTACCCACGCAGGCAGACAGACCTGGGAGGGCAGGTCCAGGCCTTCTGGGGAGATGCCCTGCTCCAGGAGGCAGGCGGAAAGGGCAGAGCCTGGGGAGGGGCGAG